TTGAGCAAGTTCATACGAACGATTATATTTACATCAAATTAATTTACAATTCGGGTCTCTTACAATTAAACACAAGTATAATGGTTAGATACCTACTCCCTTCTTTTTATTTAATAGGAGTCTTACCAAAAAAATGCCTTTATATTTAGTTATTTCATTAGAAATGCGTTTTTTCCATTTCTAATCATTTGATTAATTTTATAACTGGTGAAAGATGAAAATGATTGAAGGGTATATAAATAGTTCTTAGTGCGATGAATTGGTACACTGTGTTGGTCTGAAAAAGTTAGCTTAAGCATAGCTCGAACTATTTATTTCGATTGTGTAGTTGTAGGGGAACAATTTCGTAAGATTTAAAAAGCAAAAACATGAAAAGATGAAATATGTTATGATTTGTATGTCGTGTGCATGGATGGAGACACGTGTGACAGTATTATCTCAATCTCTTCTGTTTTACCTTTTAATTTATCATATAACAAAAAGCTCATACTAACTAAAATGAGCTGATTCAGTCTCCTAAAACGACACAAACGGCAATTGAGGGGGCAAAACTCTAATCGCCGCCAACAGTAAGTTCTCGCTCCTCCGGCGAGATTTTCTTCTCCTCTCCACCACATCGTGCTCCTCTTATGGCTGGACGCAATGCAAGGTCTCGATCTCCGGCCTCGCTATCAGATGTCACCTTTGTCGCCTCGGTTGTAAAGGTTTTGATTTCGATTTCGACTCCAGATCCGGCACCAAATCCACCTGACCCACCCGATCCCCCTGACCCACCGGATCTAGATCACTGCCTCTTTCGACTTTCAACCCCCGGCATCTCCTCCATCTCCCTTCCAATTACGCGTTTCCATATTTTAGATCTCAGCTCTTCTCCTTCAAATTCAGCCTATATATCGGTCTCAGATGTGGTCCGTTTGAAGCTCTTTGCTATCTATGTGGTTCTCTTTCTGGCGTTGTCCGGAGGTTCTCTCTTCGCGTCTCTGCGATCCCTTACTGCTGTGTGCAGGCTATTTCGGATCTGTTTCGGCTTCGAGCTAGTCTCGATTAGGTACAATGTTTACTTCTTGCTCTCGTTCACTCATATCACTATACCCATTCAGGCGATTTGTGAACAATCTAGCCGTCTTCCGTCTATGGAGTCTTCAAGCGTTATGGTTAAAATCAGTTTTACTATCTTTGTTAGAGTCTCATCCTTTGTGGGTGTATTCTCAAAAGATTTGGTATGCTTCTACGATCCTATATATCATTTGGTATGTGCTTGTGTGGACATTCATTGTCATGTTTACTCCTTTATGGAGGTGTTCTTTCTTTCCAATCCTTTTTTAGGTGGGAAAAGTATCATTGCAGGGAGAATAATGCGTAAGAAGTGGTCAATCTAAGGATGACATCAATGTTCTCCTCCAAGGCCTTTGTGCTGTCTCTTTTCGGGACCTTACTTCACTTCTGGCCAAGTCCAGCGAAGACTCCCTTTCATCGTTGCAGTTTGTGCTTCAAGATCCCAACACAGCTAGCCGTATCTATGTTCTCTCGATTTTTGTTGCCGAGACATTGGTGATCAAGAAGGCTCTTTTAGCTGCTGTATTTTCAGGTCCAGTAAGACCGAATGTGTTAAGCGACCCACAAGTGCTCATCTCCTTGATCAACTTCGAAAGAATAACGATTAAGCTTGAAGATTATTTCTTCGAGATAAGCTTTTTAAGCTTCTCATCTTCAACTATCTCTCTCTTTTGAGTATTGTAAGAGCTGTTTTATTAGGTGATTATACCTTGATGGTTGTAAACAATTTCTCCATGTGTGGAGAGTAACCTCTGTTTATAAAATTTGCAGTTTGTGACCAAAAAAAAAAAACAAAAAGCTCATTTCTTCTTCTATATCATCAATTTCATAAACTTGCAACCGCATCGTATAACTTTTGCGTTTATAGTGATCGATCGTAGTTTATGGATATAAGTTTGACTTTTGTTTTGACATCTATGACCAAAAACAAAAAAGAGTGACTGAATGATATTAATATGATTACTTGATTATTTAGCTGTAGCTCAAGCCTCAAAGGTCCTCCGAAATGTTTGGGACTTGTGAGGACTATTTCCATCATAAGAATTCTTCCCAAAATCGATGTTATTGGGCTTTGAGGAGCATATGAATTCA